GAGAAGATGAGTGACCCTCATCACCTTTGGGTCTCAGTACCTGGCACAGTGTTTCAGTGAGTGCTGGATGAAGCCAGGAATGGATGAATGAATATGTAAATGAATGAATGTTGAATGACACACACACACACACACACGCACACACACACCCCTCTTGTAGTGCTGGGAATATCTTTTTTTTTTTTAAATAAATGTTTTATTGTGTATTGAGTGATATTTTACATGGGGAAACATTAGTTTTACATTCATTCTATCGTATATCGTTTCATTGCCTTAGTTACCATCCTGTCCATGCATCAACCCCCTGCGAAAGGGTATACCTTGCATGCCCCCCAGCCCCACTGTCCTCAGCACACAGCCCCTCTTCCTCTCTGGGTCTCAACTCCCCAGCCCCTCCATCTCTTCACGTCATCCTCTCTGTCTCCATCTCAGGCCTCACTGCTTCTCTGGGTGGGGTCTCGCTCTCCTCTCTTCTCCATTGATGGTCCCAGGGCCCTCAGCTCCCAGACTGAAAGGTTAGTCACTCCCCTCTTTACTATAAAATGCGCACCTTTATGCTTCAGTCCTCCCAATCAGTCCTGGTAACAATTTTCACCATTGCATCACATGAGACCCGTCTGCATTTCTTTTCATCAGCCCTTCCTAGACAGGTTGGGTACTATTCACTGGAGACTCCACTATCTTCCCTGCCCTGTGGATCTAGGTTCCCTCTTGAAAGCTTGTAAGCCAGTCACTTCTTACCTTTGTATCCCTCCCCCCATTTTGGGTGGCCAATGTTCAAGTTGCCCTACCCTTCCCACTCTGTGTGTGGAGGGGATGGGAATAACTCTTGTAGCCGGTAATTGTTTCCTCTTTTGAGCTACTGCAGTTGTATGTGTAGGTCCAGTTCATCCAGTTGTATCAGATGACACTTTTTTTTTTTTCCCCCTCTTTCTTCTTCTCGGGTTGAGTTCTGTCCATCCAGTCACTGAAGCCAGGTCAAGTGGGTATCATCTGTAAGTGTGGGTGTTTTTGCGTCTGTCTGCCCTCTTCTTATCAGCTGGTCTCTTCACTCTCCTCTCTAGTCCTCTGTAGCTGTGTCACTGACTCTGAGCCCATGAGTCCCCCGGTCCCGCCTCGCTGCTGGGCAACCGAGTCTCCACCCGGGTTCACAGTAGTCTGCTGAACCATGCAGGGCTTAGTTTGCCCCTTCATTTGTGTTCTTAGGCCACGTCTCTTTATAGGTGACATGCTTGGTGGCCAATCAGAGCGTGTATTTCCGTTGCGTATTAGTCTTGGGAGAGAATTTGTGCTGAGAGGACCCGTCCACTTGCCTTGATGTCTCCTGGGCTAGCAGCCTACTTATTCTTGTGGTAGTAGTCAGACTGCCCTTAGTGTTCTGTGTTTTTCCTGTAGGTCTTTCTTTCAAGAAGTGTCTTCTGGTTTTCTGGGTGTTCCAGGCTGATCTGCTTACCCTTTCGAGAGGAAGGTTTCCCGTCTCTGGAGGTCTGGATGTGGTTAGGCTTTAATTTATATTCTTCTGTACTGCCGAGGCTCTTCAGGAATCCTCCTTCACTGGATACCTTGTAGTCCCATTTTAGGTATTCCAATCAGTTATGGGCAGAAGACGGACTTACAAGTTTCCTATGGTGACACCTCTTTCTTCCCCTCCTGTGTCTGTTTCATAATGTAATGTATGGGAAACCAAGGTTCAAAAGTCAGCCAAGCATCATAACATTATTCCCCCCTTTTCCCCATTCCAACCATATCCCAGTCTCTGTACCCCCAGAACCCTGTTGCTCTAAGGCTGGGCCTACATCTTTTTTTTACTTCTGTCCCATTTAGCTCCTTCATACTTGTCTAGTCGTTCTCCCATCTGCTTTGTTCTTCCATTCCCTCTACCTACTTGTATAATGCCCCCACCCCACCTCCCAAACTGTCCTGTGTCTATTCCCTGCCCTGTGGTCCACCTTCCCCTCCTGCCCTTAACCCTACCCCTACGTCCTAGCAGCCTGCTAGGAATCCTCTTTAGTGGGATAGTATGGGTTCTTTTTCTTAGTCTTTTACGGTAGTGGTTCTATGCAGTATTTTTCCTTTTGTGATTGACTAATTTCACTCAACATAATGTCCTTAAGGTTCATCCATGTTAGGAAGTGGCATGCAGCTTCCTTGTTATTTTTCAATGTAGCATAGTACTCCATTGTGTGTATGTACCCCAGCTTGTTTATCCATTCTTCAGTTGATGGGCATTTTGGCTGTCTGCATCTTTTTGCTATTGTAAATGGTGAAGCTATGAACATTGGTGTGCATATATCTTCCTGTGTTGTGGCTCGTTTTTCTTGTGGGTAAATACCAAGTAGAGGAATTGCTGGATCAAATGGTATTTCTGTTTCCAACCTTCTGAGGAAACACCATATTGCTTTCCAGAGAGGTTGAACCATTTTGCAGTCCCACCAACAATGCAGGAGTGTCCCATCTCTCCACATCCCCGCCAGCATTTATTGTCCTCAGATTTTTTGTTTTTTGCTGTTATTACTGGTGTGAGATGGTATCTCATTGTTGTTTTGATTTGCATCTCTCTAATGGCTAATGATCGTGAACACCTCTTCATATGTTTGTTGGCTGCCCGGATCTCTTCCTTGGTGAAGTGTCTGTTTATATCCTGTGCCCATTTCTTAATTGGGTTATTTGTCTTAGTTTTGTAGATGTGTAGTATTTTCCTGTATACTCTAGAGACGAGTCCCTTATCTGATATATCGTTGCCAAAGATTTTTTCCCAGTCTTTGGGTTCTCTTTTTACTCTCTTGGTGAAGTTTTTTGATGAACACAAGTTTTTAATTTTTAGTATGTCCCATTCGTCTATTTTGTCTATTTTTGTTTGTGTACTTTTCAAAATGTGTGGCAACCTGTATATGCCCTGAATTAGTGCCCTCACATTTGTCCCTAGTTTTTCATTGATGAGCTTCATAATTTGGGGATTCACATGTAGATCTTTAATCCATGTTGAGTTCATGTTTGTGTATGGCGTAAGGCAAAGGTCTGGTTTCAGTCTTTTACATACCGCTTTCCAGTTCTGCCAGCACCATTTGTTAAAGAGGTTGTCTCTTTCCCATGCAATGTGCATGGGCGTTTTGTTGAAGATCATTTGGCTGTAGGTGGTTGGCTTGATATCTGGGTTCTCGATTCTGTTCCGTTGATCAATTTCTCTTTCATTGTACCAGCACCAGGCTGTTTTTACCACCGTAGCTGTGTAGTAAAGTTTAAAGTCAGGGATTTAGAGACCTCCTACCTTGTTCTTCCTTTTAAGCAGTGCTTTGCTTATCCTGGGTCTCTTTGGGAATATCTTTTAACCAATTTTTTTTTTTTCATGTAAAAATTTCCAATATTTCAAAGATATGTAGTAATTCTAAACTAGTGTTTTCCACCTACCAGCCAGAATCCATCAGTGAATTATGAAAACCAGTAGTTCACCACCAGCAATTTTGTTTACAAATGGGTAGAACAAAATGGTATCGAATCACAGAACACAACAGAAAAAAATCAGTGTGATAAAATTGTGTGTAGTGAAACCTGTGTTCAAGTCTTGATAGAAAATATATTTCTTACTGTGGCATGGAATAAGAAGGTTTGAAGAAGTCTTCTGACACACTCATTGTGCACAGTCTGACCTGTATAATGTTCTGTCATTGAGAGCTCTTTAAAAAGTGATGGCATTGTTAGTTACCTTGTTCACTTGTCGGGTTCTTCTGCTGGTAAGAATTGGTACTGAAGAAAGTACATTGATCTCAGAGCAGTTATGTGTCCCCTTCCAGACGTTGGGCAAAGCCAGGACAGCCCTGTTTTCTTGTGAAAGTCACCAAAGTTTGGGGCAGTGAATCAGGGGTAGAATATGTATGGTGGAAATAAACCATCCAGATGCCTAAGTTCCAATTCCAGTTTACTGGGGATGCTTTAGGGTCAGTTATTGCTTGTTTACTCAGCTAGGTTAGAGAAAGATAGAAGGTTTGAAATTTATTTGCAGGGACATAATGGACAGCTGTTTGTTTGTAAAGTGCTCATTAAAGGCATTTCCGTAACTTACTTTCTGTTCTAAGCCTAATGGATTATTTTCTGAAGTAAAGTTCCCATGAGAATAAAGATCCTATATAATCAAGTAGTAGTTTAAATACCTGCTGTGCTGGGAGCATTAAGAGCCCCTTGAGTAATATGTCTCCTATGTGACACCTTGACAGCTGTTCCCACACCCTCCAGTAATTTACAGACACTTGTTTAGGGCTTACTGTGCCAGGCACTGTTCATGAGATCATCAGCAAACACCTGCCTTCCGATGACATTGCTCAGTCCCCTTGGAGGTCTAGGTCGTCTCCCCAGAGGCACTGAGCTAACATTTGTGTTAAGTTGCTGTTGGTGTCTTGTACCTGGAATAATTACTGGTGGGTCCAGGGTTCAAGAAATTACCTGGATATGAGGGTGAAAATTGGTTGCATAAAATGTGACCAAAAACATGGAACTTGACAGTTGTGTCCTAGAAGAATGACACATTCCTGTAAGATGCTCAAGACTGCAGCACGCAGACAGATGGTTCATTGCCGGGCCTGATCACACCCCACTGCACAGATGGACTGGCCTTGGTTCAGTTTATGGACGTGAAGGGAGAGTCTGCCCTTTTTAATGTCCATTTTTATTGGATAGACTTTATTGCTACTTAGAAAGGGGTGGACACTGGGAGAGATCATAGCCCTTCATTCTTAATCTTTTAAAAACTGCCTTTCCTGCTCTGACCCTGATACTCAGAAATTGTATTCAGCATGCTTCTGTGCTGGATAGTGTATTAAGGATTAGAAAGCAGTTCTCAATTAAAGCGCCAGCAATCAACTTGGACTGATGTTGTCGATAAAAAAAATTAAACCAAGCACTTTCCTTCAGTGTTTCTGTGTGTGTGTGTGTGTGTGTGTGTGTGTTCTACCTCCTCTGTTAACTTTAACCTTTAGAAATGAAATGGATCTCTTCTTCTCCCGCAGACGCGCTCTTTGCTGAGCGTATTTGAAGAAGATGCCGGCACCCTCACGGACTATACCAACCAGCTGCTCCAGGCCATGCAGCGCGTCTACGGAGCCCAGGTAAACCCAGGTCCCGCGTTCTGAGGAGAAGAGAGCAGGGGCCTCATCTTCAGCTTCTCACAGGAAGTTGAGCAGTTTGTCAGAAAAACATCATCTAAAATGTTGAAATAAAATCAGATTTTATTCCCCTCACTTCTGTTCTTCTTACAAACCAAAGCCCAGCCTGGTTGCGTTGCTTAGAAAAAGGGAATGATTTTCCTATAACTAGAACCCAACCATTAACTGCTCGTAATATCTTTCTTAAATTCCACCCCAAAGGGAAATATTTGAGTTTCCTCTTTCTGCCTGTGAATGAGTGGGTTCCGTACCGGAGACATGCATGTTCTTTGTCTGTCTCATAAATGGGCAGTCTTCGATGTCCATGTGGGAGGGTAGAGACTGAGTCACAGCTCTGGAACTACTGAGTGGCGTCTTTGTTTTGAGGAACAAATATTCTCTGGCTTGCAGAATCAAGGAAAAGAAATTGCTGAACAGCAAACATGAATCATTTTAAGATCAAGAAGTGCCCATGTGTAAGTGTTACTTCCTAAGGACACTTGGAAGTTCGTCAGAAATAAAATTCATTATGTTATTAAAATATGGCAGCTGGTAATTATCATTGCTTTCTTGCTGACTTAAATTGGGACATGTTAGTGTATTTCTTTTTCTCACTGTTGGTATCTAAAGAAATACTATATTTAATAGTGTATAGCTCATAATGCTTACATATGACCATTGTCCTATTAATCACTCGTTTATTTATCCAGAGAAACCCTGGTGGTCCAGTGGTTAAAGCACTCAGCTGGTAGCCAGCAGCTTAGCTTGGTGGTTCAAACCCACCAGCCAGTCTGCAGGAGAAAAATGTGGCTTCTGTTTTTGTAAAGCTTCACAACCTTGAAAGTCCTCTGAGGCAGCTCTTCTCTGCCGTAGCAGGTCATTGTGAGTCAGAACAACTCGATGACTTGTTAGCCAACAGAGTTGGATGGCTGTATGTGAGGCACTGTTCGAAGTTCTGGGGATAGGCCGATAAAAACAAATTCTTGTCCCGTGGATCTTACATTTTTGTGAGGGAAGATTGGCAATAAACAAGATAAATATATCAAATACACAGTGTGAGCCACAGTAATCGTGGCTACAATGCAGAACCAGACCAGAGCTTTGCCTCATTGTACATGAGGTCTCCAGGGGCCGACTGGACAACAGCTAGCAACAGCATGTAGTGGGCCAGCCATTGATAAGCTCCATGGGGAAAAATTAACCAGGAGAGACACGCAGAGACTGGCAAGCTTCACAGGACAGTTGAAGAAGGCATATCGAGAGCGAATGGATTGCACAGCTCTCCAGAGAAAATAAGTTCAAACAGTCATTTTTGTTGATGAGAAATGAATTAATACAAGACACTCTCGTGGAAGATTACTTAATTTTGTATAAGTCTATACATAATTGATTGTTTACAAACAGCTTTTATGAGAGAGGCAACTTTGAAATAGAATCCGTAATCATTGCAAACTATCTGAGAAGAAAGAGTAAGAAGGATGGTTTTGAAAGGTAAGTATTTTCAATGAAAAGTTCCCGGCTTGTTAGAAATGCCGATGAGCTCAGCCTGCCTCAGCTTTCCTGAGCCTTTGAGCTGATTGTGATGCCCGTGGGAACTGGGAAACCGTTGTACTGCTCAAAATTAGTCATCTAACACTCCTCAGACACTGATGTGCTGACAAGTCACCATGGAATTGTTCAGATGCAGTTTCTGGTGGATACTGGTGGTGGGTTGGTTGTGGCTCTGGGCTGTCAAATTGGTTCCGACTCAGCGACACTGTATAGGGTTTCTGAAGCTGTAAATCTTTATGGGAGCAGAGAACGTCTTTTTTCTCTCATGGAGGACTGATGGACTCAAACTACTTGGTGTTAAGTAACCCACTGTGCTACCAGGGTTCCTTGGCTTAGTAGCTGTGTGCCACCAAGTGGATTCTGACTCACAGCGACCTTGTTCAGGGTTTGTGATGTGAGGCTGTAAATCTTTCTCCTGTCAAGGGCTGATGGACTTGAGCTGCTGACCTTCAGGTTAACAGTCCAGCTCGTAACCTACTACTCCACCAGGGCTCCTTGGTTTAGTAGGAGGACACTCAGAGTTTGCATTTCCTACAAGCTCCAGGTGGAGTCCTGGTGTGGCGCTGTGGGTTAATGCACCAGACTGCAAAGCTGTTTGAACTACAAGGTTGGTGGTTCAAGCTCACCAGTCAGTCCTCAGAAACCCTATACAGGGTCGCTATGGGTCAGAACCGACTCGATGGCACTTAACAACAACAACAACAAGCTCCAGGTAGCATAGTGGTTACAAATTGGCCTGCTAACCTCAAGGTTGGCAGTTCAAAACTACCAGTTGTTCCATGGGAGGAAGCTGAGGCTTTCTACTCCCGTAAAGATTTACACCCTCGAAAACCCTGTACAGGGTCGCTATGAGTCGGTACCGACTCGACGGCACTTAACAACAACAACAGCTCCAGGAGCTACCGATGCAGCCTCCACGTTGAAAAGTGGGAATGTAAGATCCAAACTAAACCCACCACCATTGAGTTGATTCTGACTCGTAGTGACCAGGTGGCCAGAGGACTAGCCTCTGGGCTTCCCGAGGCTGCCCATCTTACGGGGCCGACTGCCCCATCGCCTCCTGCGCACCAGCTGCTGGGTTTGCAGTCAGTGCACTCAGAATACCACCCCTGTAATAGACCAGTAGGCCAGGCCCAGGTGCTCTTCACAACTACCTTTAAACCATGCTTGGTACTGCCCCAAGTCGGCCTGAGGGGCTGGGGGTTTGAGCCCACTCCTTGCTCCATGGGAGAGGGCCTGGTGATCTCGTTTTAAAAAAAGAAGTAAAATAATAACGTGTTCCTGTCGTGACCGTTGTTATGATTGTTAGTTCTTGTAGGAGGCTGTTGATTCCAACGCAGTGAGCCAGTGTGACGGGTAGCAGTGCTTGCTGGGGTTTCCTTCCTAGGCTGTAGTCTCAGATCTTCTCTCCCATCAATCGGTTGCTGACCTTCCACTTCGCAGCTGAACATTTAACCCTTGCGCCTCTGGGGCTCCTTTTATTAGCAGCACTGTTGTTGTGAAGGGTTGTGGAGCAAGTTCTGATCATGTATAGGGTTTCCAAGGAGTGGCTGATGGGCTCGAACCGCCTGCCTTGTGGTTCAAAATCCAGTGCTTATGCTATGGAGACTGGTGGAGCCACTGTGCTCCCCGCAACACAGCAGACAGTCAATGAATGCTTCACAGGAAGTAAGCATTTATGTAACCTGAGTTTGAGTGCCAGCTACAGATTTAGGCACCATGGTGGTGGTGGTGGTGGCCATGGTGTGCCGTGGAGTCAGTACCAACTCACAGCAACCCTGTAAAGGGTTTCTGAGGCTGTAAATCTTCATGGGAGCAGAAAGTCTCATCTTTTTCCCAAGGAGCAGCTGGCAGGCTCGAACCACAAACCTTGTGGTTCACAGTAAAGTGTTTATCATGTGGAGACAGGACTCATAGCGACCCTGTATAGGATTTCCGAGGAACAACTGACTCTACGTTTCAAATCGACTTTGCAGTTCAGCGCATTGACCCACAGTGGAGATTTATTGGATAGTTAATTACTTAATTAAGTAATTAACTAAGTAATTAATAAGAAGCTCTGGTTGCGTAGTGGTTATAAATCAGGCTGCGAACCGCAATCAGCAGTTCGAAACTACCAGCTGCTCCGCAGGAGAAAGATGAGGCTTTCTGCTCCCGTAAAGATTTATAGCCTCGGAAACCCTGTGCAGGGTCGCTATGAGTCGGAACCAACTCCAGGGCACATAACAACAACAACAACAATTACTTATTAGCTTCCAGGCGGAGTCCTGGTGTGGCGCTGTGGGCTAATACGTCAGACTGCAAAGTCAGTTTGAACTGCATGGTTGGTGATTCAAGCTCACCGGCTGCTCCTTGGAAACCCTATACAAGATCGCTGTGGATCGGAATCGACTCGATGGCACATAACAACAACAAAAGTAGCTTCCAGGCAGGCTTTCAGAGGCTTATACATTGATTATCTCATTTAAATTCCCCACCAATTTTCATGGGGGCATGTTATCCCCATTTTATAGGTCAAGAGATAAGTTATATGGAGCCCTGGTGTGGTGCTGTGAGTTAATGTGCTGGACTGCAAAGTCGGTGGTTCAGGCTCACCAGCAGCTCCTCTGAAACCCTAAATGGGATCGCTATGAGTAGGAACCAGTTGGAGGACAGCACCTCATAACAGCAGTAAACCCAGTTACACATTGCTGAAGCCCAAGCCCAAACTCTTATAACGAAGCATGGGGCTGGTGGCCTGACTTAGGGAAGTGACAGTAACTTGGAAAAAACTGACAGGGGTTTCAGAATCATGTAGGAGGCAGCTTGGTGATAAGAGGGAGCCTGCCTAAGGGAGAATCATGAAGACATTCGGGTCTTTGACTTCAGCGAGCCCTCAGATGGTAGAGAAGCAGGGTGTGTGTGTGTTGGGGCAAGGATGGGAGAGTACACATCCAAATTGAAAGGCTGATTTTGAGACCATCAAAACGGAGAGATGTTGAAAGTTCAAATCCAGAGTTCAGGGCTGGAGAGACACACTTGTGAACGGTATAATGTGTGTGTAAAGTAGTAATTAGAGCTCATCTTATCCACCCACCAGAAGAATCCAGTGCTCTTTTAGGATTTTGTTTGTTGTGCCGGTAAGACCTTCAGAATTCACAGAGGTGAATACTTTGTCCTTTGAATTTTTTTTTTTTTTTTTTTTTTTGTAAAGACCTGTTTCTTCATATTACGTATATCTTTGGATTTTTCCTTAAATACTCTTAATGTAAGAAAAAGAGGAATTTTTCCTGGCCTTCTAATTGAGCCTATTTGTGGCTCAATATTTTGATTATTGTCATTAAATGATTTGTCTCCTATTTGAGGTATAAATGCCCCAAGACTCAGGGGACTGTGAGTCTGCCACCCCTCCCCTAGCTACACCCTTAACCGCC